AGCAAGTGTGTGGAAGTACACAAAGAAATGATTATGAAAATAAGACTATGTAGCATTCCAAGTATTAATGACTTTAACGCCAGACCGCGAGTAAGGTTACAATCACACAAAGTTACAGCCCTGCTCCTGTGCCAGGTAAGTCCACTACGGGCTCGCCATGGTCCCTGCTACTTTGCAACTTTTTTTCCAAGTAGCTGTATTTAAAAGCAAAAACAAACAACGGTTACGATCAACTGAAATACATGTCGGGACAGGAGTGGCGGCCGGATCCGGACGGGAGGAGACAAGGTGCCCAGGGCGGTGCTGGTGGCAGCCAGGCCGGCCGGCCGCCTCCCAGATGGTGCGACTGCTGCTGCTTCACCTTGTCACCCGAGGCGCCCTCACACACATGCACCCCCACACATGCAGCCCTCACGCATGCAACCCTCACACTCACACACACACACACATGCAACAACCCTCACACACATGCAGCTCTCACGAATGCGACCCTCACATACATGCAGTTCGCACGAATGCAACTCTCACACACACGCAGTTCTCACGAATGCAGCCCTCACACACACATGCAGCCCTCATGAATGCACCCCCTCGCATTCAAGGCTATACTAGCAGTCCGCTTAGGGCTGGTACACATGCCACCATGCACCACCTGGGCTCCGCACGACACACTATATTTATGCCGTCTGGTACATGATATATGAGCATGATATAAACCGATTTGCTTACGACTTTTCTGTTGCATGCAGAAAGATTACCCCAAGGTGTTACTTTACACACAAGCGCTGTTGCACTTACGTCAACCTGGTAAATGCCAAGCAGTTTGTTGTACTGTTATATATAAACATCACTAAGCGTTCGCACGGTCGTAGCTGGGAAACATGCGGACCGAGTTCACCAGTACTGGAAGTCCAAGCGCTTGAGATTGTGACACGAGAGGTGTGAACAGGGCGGCCGCTAAAGCCAACAGCTTGAGTGTAACCGGCATGACGGGGTTGCCTTACTACAGGGATCAGAGACAACTACACTTACCCAGGCTCCTCCACGCCAGCGAGGAAGGCTGCCAATCTTGGCGGGAAACCACATCTGATAACTTAAGAGCCTCACAGACAATCTTTTCAGAGCTGCTTTTGAGGCCTCGGACCAGGTACTGGAACCGGTTTGGTTACTTCGCGCCATGTTTTTTTTTTCCTCAAGAACAATGTCTCTCAATAGTTTTACATCCAGGTTTCCCTAATTACCGCTCAGTGTAGCGCAGAAGCGAACAATGCGAGAACGAAGCCCATTTATAGTATCTTGGTCAGGATTCGAACCCAGACCCGTGTGCTAACGACAAGAGCACTGGATGTCACCTCTCGCAAAAGGCTGGTAAATACACAGCCAGTTTATCCCGTGTAACAGCGGCCATAATTCGGGAATTGATTTGATTTATAGATAATTAGTTGTCTACCAGTCTGTGGTTCCGGGAATCAATGCCCCCACGGCCCGGTCTCTACTAGAGCTACTGGTTGGCGGTCTGGTCAACCAGGCTGTTTGTCACATTCCGAACGTCGGGAGATCATTGACGTCATGTGTATACAAACATTCAATGGGCTAGTTTTACTATCTCGGACTCAAATCAGAGAAGACAGGCTGTGTGGTCCAACAGAACTAAACAATTTATCCATAAAGAATGCTGATTCATTAATAATTTCTCATGAGCCACGAGAACGAGGTTTTAGCGACAATGTGGCCCTGTTCGTGTAGGCTTCTGGTTAGGGTTTTCAGCTGTCGATTTAACTGTATCTGTAAACATTTGAATCGATTTTATCAGGTAAAAAAAAAAAACATCTTGAGGTTATCTTGAGATGATTTCGGGGCTTTTTAGTGTCCCCGCGGCCCGGTCTTCGACCAGGCCTCCACCCCCAGGAAACAGCCCGTGACAGCTGACTAACACCCAGGTACCTATTTTACTGCTAGGTAACAGGGGCAGAGGGTGAAAGAAACTTTTGCCCATTGTTTCTCGCCGGCGCCCGGGATCGAACCCGGTACCACAGGATCACAAGTCCAGCGTGCTGTCCGCTCGGCCGACCGGCTCCCAACACGACTTGATAATGGTCCAAGACTGACAGAAATGTCGTCGTTTCTTAATTTTCTGATGTGTAGTTTGGTCATCATATCTTCAGCAACGTTACTGTGACTCGTCATCTATTAAGTAAAAACGCTCTAACGTTGACTTTAGAACGTAGAAGACCTCCCAGAACGCTCTCCACGGTATACACTGCAGGTATACCTAATTACCCCAAAGCCTCAGGCCTCGTCTACAATCATGAATAACGCATTATCCAATAAGCTTATTTTTCCAACGTCTGCAAGAGTCTTCAGTAAGGAACGGCGTTGATATCTTTGCGGTGTTAAAAGAATAAAAATTCACACAGCCGTTCCCAGTTTTAAGTCAGTCGTAATATTTATAGAGATTAGTTAAGCAGTATTTCTCTGCTTGATACCATATTATTTATAGTTATGAAGTATTTAGTCTCTTTAGTCTCTTTGTGTTTCAATAACTTGGTGTTTGCTTGCAGAGAATGTTCGTTAATGACACCGGCCTGCAGTGAGTGACCCGTCAATATAGTGAGTGACACCTTCATTTAGTGAGTAATGAGAGGACGGGAGTTACTGCAGGTACACTCAGGTGTCCCCTCATCGACTCCCCTCCCTATAACATACAAGGAGCCGCATTTTCCGAACGTGCCCCTTAAACTGACCGCCTCATGCCACCAGCGTCAGTCCGGCCGTGATAAATGCCAGCTCGGCATTCAGGGGCCTTACACACACAAATTCCACACTATGCTAAATCCTGGCTGGCACTGAGACGCGCCCCTAGCCCCCCCCCCCCCCACCACGTAAATCGACGAATCGTAGTTGCATTAACCTTGTTTTGACAGCATTTATTACGAGCCGCTCATGCCGCTAAACTGCAGAGCACAGCCTCATTTGACTCTTCACTCTCAGCTATGAACACACTTGGGTCGGAGATTTGCATTACAACGTGACGCACATTTCCGGCATTGCTGCTGCATTGGTCGGGTCCCGCCCCGACGCGGGAACTCCTGATGCGTTGGTCGGGTCCCGCCCAGACACAGGAGCCCCTGCCGTAATACGCAGATTGTCGCCTGGAGAGCAATGAGAACCGAGTTATAAGAGCTCCATTTGCCTTGTACACGAATTTCTCCTTCGCTGAGGATGTATATTCATACTTACGTCCACTAAACATACAATTTTCCCATCTCATAAAGTGTAGTGTGAGTGGATACTGGAGCAAGGCGGTGTGGTTAATACAGTGCCAAGGGCCAAGAGAAGCAGCTCTGGACGGCCACTTGAGACTGTTTCCAAGAGACCTGGTTGATACCTGGTTGGTACCTGGTTGATGGGGTTCTGGGAGTTCTTCTACTCCCCAAGCCCGGCCCGAGGCCAGGCTTGACTTGTGAGAGTTTGGTCCACTAGGCTGTTGCTTGGAGCGGCCCGCCATACCCACCACAGCCCGGATGGTCTGGCACGCCTTGGAGGAAACTATCTAGTATCCTCTTGAAGATGTCCACTGTTGTTCCGGCAATATTTCTTATGCTCGCTGAGAGTATGTTGAACAGTCGTGGGCCTCTGATGTTTATACAGTGTTCTCTAATTGTGCCTATGGCACCCTTGCTCTTCACTGGTTCTATTCTGCATTTTCTCCCAGCAAGCATACAAAATATTGCCGGAACAAAGGTGGACGTCTTCAAGAAAAAATGAGACAAGTTCCTGCAAGAAGTGCCTGACCGTTCGAGTTGTAGTGGGCATACTTAAAGCTACGTACCGCTCGAAGCAACAGCCTGTTGGACCAAGTTATAATTTGGGAAGTAGAAGTACTTCTTAAACTGAACTGAACTGAACTTCTTCCTGAACTTCTTTTCAGGTACAATCTAGGTATCAAGGAGCTTCTCCGAAGGGTAAGAACTGGATGAAGAGGTGATATAAAAGGACAACCAAGACGATGATGATTTATATAGTCTGTTGTTCTAGATTCAGCTACTGGGAACAAAAAGTTCCAAGTAGCACGGGCTATGGTGAGCCCGTAGTGGACTTACCTGGCACAGGAGCGGGGCTGTAACTGATAATTTAGTCGTGTATATACAAGCCGAGGGGTAGAGTGGGGCCCAACCCGCACCCCTCTGGAGCCCGCGTCCCGGCGGTAACCAGGAGCACTACTCAATAGAGTCAACATGGCCGCCCATAATGAAAGGACTCGAATACTTGGCGGAGCAAAAGTGCAGAGCTGCCTGATGAATATTCAGGCAATAAACACAGGCCACACCCACGATTATACGGCAGTGTGGGAGTGTACAGAAGGGAATTCCTTCTGTTTTTCTGCACTTGTGGCCAGGTGATTATGTCTGGCTAAGATTGAGCCAGGTAGAGGTGTAGGATTTATACCTGGATAATACCGAATTACTCAGATTCTTAACATTCCCGCTTAAAGTCATGTTGACTGGCCACAAGTGCAGCCGGTGTTGGTATGCCTTGGTAATGAAGTTGAGCCGTGTGCGTGGGCAGCCCGCCCATACCACACCCACCTCACTACTACTCTTACACCGCTCAACTACACACCAGCTCGACGGGTTGCTGTACAACCCTGCACGCTCTGACCTACAACCATGCTCTTCCCGTCGTTGTAAACGCACCCCTCAACCTACAGTCACCTCGACACGACACACTCTAAAGTCACTCTTCTGCCACTGTGCACCTATGCACAGTCAGCTGCAGAGTCCTGTATGCACAGTCCCGTTGCACTGTGCAGACCCCCTAACCCCATTTCTAGCCAGTGTGCTGATGGTGAACCCATTCCACTGGACCAAAGTTTAGGAGGGAGGGGACGAGTCGGGAGGACTGACTTGCGGTGTGGTACCCGGGAGCCCAAACACACCCCACCCCCCAATCCTGCTTGGCACGTGAACATGGCACTGGTGACACTATGAGGCACTCACGTGAAGTGTCGCGTGCTTGGGCACGGTGCCTGAGTCCTGGGCCCTCACACTTAGCCAGTAACGAGAGACCGTCTCCCGATCCAACCAGGACGACGTGTAGATGGAACCTGCAAAGAGAAAACAAGGAATGGTTACTTTCTGTACACCTGTTTACACAAAGGGTTACTCATGTCACACCTGTCAACACAAAGGGTTACTCATGTTACACCTGTCAACACAAAGGGTTACTCATGTCACACCTGTCAACACAAAGGGTTACTCATGTCACACCTGTCAACACAAAGGGTTACTCATGTCACACCATTCAACACAAAGGGTTACTCATGTCACACCTGTCAACACAAATGGTTACTCATGTCACACCTGTCAACACAAAGGGTTACTCATGTCACACCTGTCAACACAAAGGGTTACTCATGTCACACCTGTCAACACAAAGGGTTACTCATGTCACACCTGTCAACACAAAGGATTACTCATGTCACACCTGTCAACACAAAGGGTTACTCATGTCACACCTGTCAACACAAAGGGTTACTCATGTCACACCTGTCAACACAAAGGGTTACTCATGTCACACCTGTCAACACAAAGGGTTACTCATGTCACACCTGTCAACACAAATGGTTACTCATGTCACACCTGTCAACACAAAATGTTGGCTGCTAGAGAGCAACAACAACAACTGCTTGAGTAGTTCACACAGTCTTACCTACTTGGCGCCTTCTTTCGATAATTACATAATTATTCAATAAGAATCTCCTGCTACTATTCAGACCCCCGAAATGGCAGTCAGCATTATGTTAATTAAAACCGCAAACAAAACACAAAATATTAAATTTAAACTTCCGGTATGAAGTTAACGGTGTCAACGGTTAACTAACTGTTAACTGATCGGAAACAGTGCAGGTCGCAGAGCAAGAATCACGGGACTGCGAGAGTAGAGCAACTCGCGAAACTGGCCACAGGTACGCCAAACACCGGCAGATGCATGGAAATATGAGTAATATTCTTGGCACAATTAGAGCGGTCTCGTAAGTCTCTTAACGGCAGCACCACTGACAAGGGTGTGGCCGTCGGCCGGCACACGGGAGACAAGGGTGTGGCCGTCGGCCGGCACACGGGAGACAAGGGTGTGGCCGTCGGCCGGCACACGGGAGACAAGGGTGTGGCCGTCGGCCGGCACACGGGAGACAAGGGTGTGGCCGTCGGCCGGCACACGGGAGACAAGGGTGTGGCCGTCGGCCGACACACGGGAGACAAGGGTGTGGCCGTCGGCCGGCACATGAAGGCAACGTGTCTCCGGCTGTGGTCAGATATCAAGTGCTATCCATTCCAGATATCCATTCCTCCCTCGCTCGTTCTTGCCCACCTTATTCTTCGCGCTTTTGCAAAGCTGAGAGACGCTAATGTCAGGACACAGAGGGAGGGAGGGAATTATCAAGAGAAAGCGCCAAGCCATTAGGACTATATAGCACTTGGAAAGGGTCAGGATAAGGATTTGGGATGGGGGGGCGGGGGAAGGGGGGGGGGGAAGGAATGGTGCCCAACCAATTGGACGGTCGGGGATTGAACGCCGACCTGCATGAAGCGAGACCGTCGCCAAGATATATTACTCAGAGCCTCTGAAAAACAAGTATCGAGGCACAAATGAAAAATATGCTAAATAATTAGTTTGCCTCGGTGTTCACCAGTGAAGGCTTGTTTCCGCCTACGCAACGTGGAAACAATATACAATGACGACGAAAATAAACTACCCAACTTTAGTGGAAGTTGGAAACAACGAAAACAATATACTGAATCAAATTGAAAAATTCAATCTAAATAAATTGTCAGGTCCAGATGTGGAGTTCAGCAGTCACGAAGGAGTGCAAATAACTTTGTGACCTACTAATGAGTATATTAAATTGATCAGTGAACACAAATAGCCTATACTGCCTGGAGAGGCTATTTGACGGCCTGTTGACGGCCAAAGTGATCCCGTCAACAGTGTGCAAGTTATTTATGGCTATAATACACATAGGGTCTGATAAAGAACACTAATCATTGATTCTTGTCAGAGCAATCTTCTCTCACAAATGTGAGAGAAGCCGACTGTCTCAAGCGTATTTGAGACAGTCAATAGCAATAACAATTATTATATTGTCTATCTTAACCTCAGTAAGGCCTTTGACACTGAAGTCTCAAGAAAAGCTAATCTGGAAAGTTGAGAATTACGGTTCACAATTGGATTAGAGTTTGGTTGAAGGTTATCAGTGTGGTAAGGCAGTAGGAAATATGTCACTTGAGGGGCGTTTTCCAGGGGGTCTTGCGTTCGTGCTATATGTGAATAACCTAAACATTGTACTGAACAGTAATGTCACCGAATGACACGACAGTAGGGCGAATTATATACTTGAATGAGAACTCTGCAAATCTCAAGATAGACCTCACCACATAGCAGAACTAGCCAAAGAGTGACAAGTGCAAAGTCCTAAACTTGGGAAATGACATTGGCAACGTCTGTCGAATGAACGATGCAAATTTTAGCATATCTAGTGTTGAAAAAGACTTGGCGGGTCATGACTGGTAGTGATTTAAGATGTAGGCAGCGGTGTCTTCACTTGAATAACAAAGCGAATGCAATGTTTGGACTTACAACCAGATGCGTCACCAATGAATACATAAACATTGTTCTTCAATTATATTTGGCCCTTGTAAGGGCCCCACTTGAACTATGTCTTTTAATTCTGGTCACGTATTACAGAGTGGACGACCAGGGACCTCTCATACGAGGGAGGTCAAAGTTGCTCGCCTTGCATTCCTCAAGAGAAGCACAGGTCGAGAGAAGACCTGGCCGAGGTCTTCAAGTAGATTAGAAACTATCAGATGAGATCAGAACAGATAACAATAGTTGTACCTGCTTGATACCTGGTTGATGGGGTTCTGGGAGTTCTTCTACTCCCCAAGCCCGGCCCGAGGCTAGGCTTGACTTGTGAGAGTTTGGTCCACCAGACTGTTGCTTGGAGCGGCCCGCAGGCCCACATACCCACCACAGCCCGGTTGGTCCGGAACTTCTTTTTAGAAAACAGTCTAGTTTTCTCTTGAAGATGTTCCGGCTATATTTCTTATAGTCGCTGGGAGAACGTTGAACAACCGCGGACTTCTGATGTTTATACAGTGTTCTCTGATGGTGCCTACGGCACCTCTTCACCGGTTCTATTCTGCATTTTCTTCCATATCGTTTACTCCAGTATGTTGTTATTTTACTGTGTAGATTTGGGACCTGGCCCTCCAATATTTTCCATGTGTATATTATTTGGTATCTCTCTCGTCTCCTGTCTAGTAAGTACATTTGGAGAGCTTTGAGACGATCCCAATAATTTAGGTGCTTTATCGCGCCTATGCGTACCATATATGTTCTCTGTATTCCCTCTATTTCAGCAATCTCTCCTGCTCTGAAGGGGGAAGTGAGTACTGAGCAGTACTCAAGACGGGATAACACAAGTGATTTGAAGAGTACAACCATTGTGATGGGATCCCTGGATTTGAAAGTTCTCGTAATCTATCCTTTCATTTTTCTGGCTGCCGCAATATTTGCTTGGTTACGCTCCCTAAACGTTAGGTCGTCAGACATCATTATTCCCAAATCCTTGACATGCTGTTTTCCTACTATGGGCAGATTCGATTGTGTTTTGTACCCTGTATTACGTTTCAGATCCTCATTTTTGCCGTACCTGAGTACCTGGAATTTATCACTGCTAAACATCATGTTATATTCTGCTGCCCAATCGAAAACTTTGTTGATATCTGATTGTAGTTTTTCAATGTCTTCTTCAGAGGTAATTTTCATGCTAATTTTTGTGTCATCTGCAAAGGATGACACGAAGCTGTGACTGTTATTTTTGTCTATAATATTCCTTATATGAGAATAAGGAACAGCAGTGGTGCAAGGACTGTACCTTGCACCACTGAAGTACAGAGCTTTAAACTGCGCTTGGACTCGATTTTATTTGATTGACTGTTACCCCCTGTGTTCTGTTCGACAGGAAATTGAGTATCCAGCATCCTACTTTACCAGTTAGTCCCATTGACCTCATTTTGTGTGCTATCACCCCATGGTCACATTTGTCGAATGCCTTTGCGAAAGTCTGTGTATACAACATCTGCATTTTGCTTTTCTGCTAGAGCTTCTGTGATTTTGTCATAGTGGTTGAGTAACTGTGACAGACAGGATCATCCCGCTCTAAATGCATGTTGTCCTGGGTTGTGTAGCTCATTGTTTTCCATAAAACTAGAAATTTGATTCCTAATTACTCTTTAAAAAACTTTTATTATGTGTGATGTTAGTGCAACTGGTCTATACTTTTTTGCCAAGGCTGTGATAGTCTTTTGCCAAGACTGTAAGCTGGATAAATTCAAGTTCAGAAAGGATTTGAAGTAGTACTTAATTGACAACAGGTGTGGTAGACAAGTGGAATAGTAAATATACCGATAGATAACTGTGAACATAGCCTCGGTAGATGTATGAGGGAAAAGGGGGATGGGTCTTGACCGGCACCGCCCGGAATGAGCCAACAGGCCCGTTACAGTAACTACTACTACTTAAGAGTTTTATGTTATTGGATGTCTTGGATTGCAGAGGACAGCTTAGGATTTGATGGGGAGGTTTACGAGAGTGGAGATACTTGCGGCAGAAAAGACGCTCCCGAAGAGGAAATCCAAAAGCGTGGATTTTGTTTTGTTTTGTCGGAGGAAGGGGGGGGGGGGAATGTTATAGTATAACTTATGTAGAGTCAATATGGCAATGATCTCTCGACATGATGTCACTGTGGTGTTGTGATCGACTAGACTGTGTGTCTGCAACCGCATACCTTCGAGCACCAGATGAATGACGACCTGATGCAACTTCACTTGGGCATTTTTAAGAGGAACTGTTCATTTAAGCATTTTTTCTTTTCCCAAACTTAAAGCTTCAGATTCTCGGGCAGTAGACGTTGCCATTGTTTCTCTAATTGACAAAGTCAGGAAAGGCAGGACATTGACCGAGTGGCAGAAGACTGACGGGGGAAGGATAGCGAGGGAAGAAAGGAGATGGTGGGGAGGGGGAAAGGGATTGAGGGAGGAG